ACTGAGTTTAGTTTTACGCCGCTTTTAGCAATATTCCAGCAATTTCACGGCGGGGGACACCAGAAATTGGCTTAACACATTGTGCCCATGTGGGGAATCGAACCCGGGTCTTCTGCGTGACGAGCCAACGCTTTAACCACTAGGCTACCCCACCGCCCCCAATGCCTCATACAAGTTTCAACAGTCGTTAAGTTAGAAATGCACAAATCTCTAAGATAATAATTAATAGTTTAAATGGTAATTTCAAAGAAGCATAAAAAGAACACATTGTCCCTCTAACAGACTGGCGTCCTTTGATTTGCCTCTGTAAAGGATAGAATTACTATACCAATGGGCTTAGAAATCGTTACAGCCTTTGAGAGAGGCTATATGTGCACTCATCCAAATGCTATTGTCAATGTGACTGCTTGTTAGTGGTGTCTTTAAGACAGACAAAGGACATTCGTCTTCTGACCCCACGAGGTAAGGCGTGCACGCGAACTGTGCACTGATTGGCCGACTGGTCATTATGTGCAGGACGAGCTCAGTTAGGTTAGAAAATGAGGGCAAGAAAAATGGGCTGACGAGCCTCAAGGGGCACCAGAAATGGGCTTCACACATTGTACCCATGTGGGAAATCGAACCCAGTTCTTCGGCGTGACGAGCGGACGCTTTATCCACTATGCTACCCCAGCGCCCTTCCCTTGGGATGAATAGTCACGTGGTGTAAGAAAAATGAACTGTTTGCAAATGATTAAGGCTTGTATAGGCAAAATATGGGAGTTTTTGCATTTTTTTTCCCGTCTGAGTGAAAATAGTATGGGCAGGACTGGCAATCTGTTTGCGCGCTGAACGATTTCGCTTTTTTGTGAAAAGGATATCGAGTCTCAAAAATACATAATCTATGACATTATTTATGTGAAAATTAGCTTTTTAATGTTTATACCTCAATAAATACAGCCGACAGTGAAGACAATTGATAAATACACCACCCAGAGGTGTAATGTTACTTCGGGGCTCATGGCTACCAGTCGGATTATGTCACGTACGTTACCCGTGAAAGTCCGGGTTAGAATATTGATCTTCAGTAACCCATGCATGTCGTAAGAGGCGACTAACGGGATCGGGTGGTCAGGCTCGCTGACTTGGTTGACACATGTCATCGGTTCCCAATTGCGCAGATCGATGCTCATGCTGTTGATCACTGGATTGTCTGGTCCAGACTCGATTATTTACAGACCGCCGCCATATAGCTGTAATATTGCTGAGTGCGGCTTAAAACTAAACTCATTCACTATGTCACGTACGTAGTATAGACGTTTGTCCTCCGCCTTTGTCATGTACATGTCATAGGCATGGCCACACTCACTCCCTCGGTGTAATCTAATCTACTAATCTTCAAGGAAGTTAGTTTGAAATACACTAGCAAACAGACCTGTGAGTCACTCAGAACATGGGATGTCTCTACCGGAAAAGCCGCGTTGGGACAAACCCAGTATCATAAATATCTCGTATCCAAACCTATAGTTGAAATTCAGAAAAATTAATACACAGGACAATCCAAATGTCAATATGTTCAAGATATGTTTTACACCATTATACGGAGTATTTTAGTAGCCGTGTACAGAGTCTTGATGTGACTTGAATATTTAGTCTCAGTTAATCATTTACTAGCAATTAGAATGGCTTTAATTGACTTTAATATTTAGGTGAGGTGAGGTGAAAGTGGGTTTTACGTCGTGCTTGATAATATTTCGCTTATGTGACGACGTGTGTATGTGTATGTGCGGCCCAGACTTAAGCTGGTTTTATAGTGCTAGCCCACTGAGATACCATGCCGCAGTGAAGCATGAATACCACACACATTATACTGACTCCGAGCCGACCAGTCGTTGTTGTACCCATTAATGCCGAGCGCCAGGCAGGGACCAACAAGTACCATATTTTAACGTCTTTTGGTATGACGCGGTCGGGGATCGAACCCGCGACCTGCCGCTCTCCGGGCGGACGCTCTAACCACTACACCACGGAGGCGATGTAATATTTAGGGGGAAGTGTCATTATTCTTATTAACATTATTGACATTAATACCTGGAGGTATGTGCCTGTTTTACCTGTTATCAAAATGACGTTAATATTTAGAGCTTTGCGCCATTTACCTTTCATCAAATTGACGTTAATATTCAAAGGTATGTGCCATGTAATTATTCAAACCAGTCCTAGTTTCTCACTCAATTCCTTCGACCAGCAAGAGGTTTTATACACGCCCGTTAGTAAGAAATACTCGCTAAACCCCAACAAGTATGATACGCAAACTGACATAACGGCAAAGCTGAATAAATGTTGCTATTTCCGTTGAACGGAGAAGAAAAACACAGTCACTCAAACTTGTCGTAGGTGTTTTTACAATGTCAACCCGGAAGTAAGTTTCTGATTACAATCCGCATCGAGCCATAGACGCAGATGCAAAATAATTCAGATGGGAAGCCTACATGGTGGCCTCTGACAGACCAATTCCAAAATACTGACTTAGCTGTGGGCACCAGAGTTCCAATTCCGCAGTTTATATTCCCAGATGTCCGGATAAGAATTTCAAATGCCAAATTGGTTCTCTGTCAAATCCGACATCACTTGAACCTTACAAGCTTGTGGATCAGAGTTGCCTGTTTCAAGAGTGAAATTGACACGTTGGCAATTTTCACACCCACTATTGTCAATTTTAAATAACATTCTGACCAAAAAAGCATACTCCATTAGTTGTGGAAAAAGAAATTTTCAGTAAAAGCAGACAGCTGAAAAACTGTGCCGCTATTGTAATCCCCACTGAAGATTAAATGGTTGGTTTTTTAAACCGCACTCAGCAATATTCCAACTATATGGCGGCGGTCTGTAAATAATCGAGTCTGGATCAGAAAATCAAGTGATCAACAGCATGAGCATCTATCTACGCAATTGGGATACGATGACATGTGTCAACCAAGTCAGCAAGCCTTACCACCCGATCCTGTTAGTCGTCTCTTACGACAAGCATGGGTTACTGAAGATCAATTCCAATCCGGATCTTCACGGGTTCCCCTGAAGAGTACAGACGGAGCTTTCACAATACGAATGTCGTATGTCAGAGTGACCTGGGCTCGGATCCACAAAGCGATCGTAGCTCTAGAACACCGGTAGGTGTTTGTTAAAATAAAACAGTCACGATCACCGTAGCCTTTCGATCGCCTTGTGGAACAGGGCCAATTGGGGTGGTGTGCGTTTTAGTGTTCCACAAAGACACACGCACAGTGTTTATATAGGAATCTCACCCGAATGTCTACTGATACCGACACGAGTTGATAGAGTTGATATCCGAAGCTTGTCGAGGATATTTTCACATTATCAACGAATGTTGATATATTTGATATCAGAAGTGAGGTAAAATCGGGTTTGTACTTAAGAATATTTCGCTCATATGACGACGTGCATGCGTGCGTATGTGTGGCTGCTTATACTAGCCCAGACATAATCTATTTTTTATAGTGCTAGCTCACTGAGATACCATGCCGCAGTTAAGCATGAATACCCAACTTAGACACATTATAATTACTCTGAGCCGACCAGACCTTTTTTTACCCATTGATGCCGTGCGCCAGGCAGGGAACAACAAGTACCATATATTAACGTCCTTTGGTATGACGTCATCTTCCACCTCCTGACGTGAGGGCATTGTACAAAATCTACTATCAAAACGATATCTCCTACAAGATATAATTTGATCTCACACAAGCAATATATCCAGTGGAACACAGTTTTGAACCAATTAACTTTCAGTAGGAATATGTTAACTAGTGCTACAACCAAGCAGCTCACTACAGTGATCCCCAAAACAAATGTTCCCCATATCGGGTATATTCGTAGATACACTTTATTGGTTTATCATCAGCCAGAACAATCATTCTCCGAATTGTAAATGATCGTGACAAACCTCTTTACAGACCCACGACAAATCTCTGCAAATCACAACCAGAGTTGGGAAAAGGACATAGAGGGGGTGTTTCTTTTGAATAGGAGTGTAGCGGGAACGTCCAATTCGAACATACTCATGGGCACGTCATTCACGGTTTCAGCAATATCCTAAAGGCAAAGAAGCGGAAGCAGGGCAATTGTCGGAAATAATTAACCAATGGTACCTCCGTTGCTGTCGATTTGAAAAGACAGAGTTCAGATTAAATGTAATTCAACTGTTCAGTAGCATTTCCGCTCCTTACGCATGGAGCTGCAAGGCCCCGTAAGGTTACGAGTCCGTACGCACTTCAGAATCGGGCAAATTCATCGCGCTGACATCATTGACTGTTATCTGGGGTTTTCGTGTAGGTGGATGAGAGGTGGATGCGTGGGTGTGGTTGGGTGAGGGTGTGGATGAGGGGTGGACGTGAAGGTTTGAGTATGGGCGTGGAGGTGTGGGTGTGAGCGTGGGTGTGGATGAGAGTGTGGAGGTGTTGATGTGTGTGTGGATAACTGTTATCATCTGGTGAACAGATAGTGCTCGTTATAAATTGGTTGACTTTTCTCGTTGATCTTTAGGAATGAAATAGGGTGAAGAGATCTGGGTGTGGGATTGGATGAGGGTGTGAAGGTGTTGATGTGTATGTGGATAAGGGGTGGAGGTGTTCTGTGTAATTATGGGTGTGGATGAGGGAATGGGCGAGTTGGTGTGGATGTGGGCTTGGAGGCGTGGATGGGTGTGTCGAGTTGTGATTGTGGATGGGTGTGTGAAGGTGATGGTGTGGGTGTGGATGATGGTGTGGAATTGTGTGGATGATGGTGTGGGTGAGGATGTGGACGTGCCGATGTTAATGAGGGTGTGGAAGTCTGGATGGGGCTCTGGTGGTGTGGGTGCGCTAGTATAGGAATACACATCATGCCTACCTCTCTTCATCGACGTTTAAACAGTAACATCCATCATTCATCCTGGACATCATATTTACCTTTATACTTTCCGTAATAAATAAATAAAATACACAAAATAAACAACGGCCTACCTGTCAGAGTCTCGAGTGTAGAGTTATGGCGCTGTTGACACTGGAGAAAGGCCTTCTTGAGCACCTGCTCCTGCTTGAACCTCTCCAGCAACGTGATCTGGTGAGGAAGATGAGGATGGGTTGTTTCATTCAGATACACCATAGTGAAGATACGCTCAGCTAACGCACTGCACTCAAGGCTGATGGCGAGGACACGGTACAAATATACAGCATCACATTTATTCAGTACACCATAGTTGGATTCTGTAGTTGACGTATTGTTCGGGGAAACACAGGTATTGAACAATAGGTGATGTATAGTTTGCGGAAACACTTGTGGGTCCAAAAGGTGACGTGTTGTTCACTAAAACACAAGTGTGGATCCTATAGGCGACGTATTGTTTGGTAAAACTCACGACTTGATCCTATAAGCGAAGAGTGGTTTGAGGAAACACGCATGGACTCTATAGGTGACGTATTGTTTGGTAAAACACACGCATGGATCCTATTGGCGAAGTACTGTTTGACGAAACACACAAACATTGATCCTTCAAGTGACGTACCCTATTCGTGGAAAAAACTCGAGGAAACACAGGTACGGATCCCTAATGTGAAGTAAAACTCGCAGAAACTCAGGTACGGATCCCTATACGTGGAGTAGATCCCCTCGAGGAAACACAGGCGAGGATTCCACGTAAAACACGAGGAAACATAGGTTCGGACAGTATAACTGAAGCATAACTGAAGATAACACTCTCACGGTCGGTCTGCTGAAGTTAACTTTAAGACAGCAAAAAGTAAGGTATATTCATCATTGCGACTTCCTCGACAAGACGTTGTGTCACGTAATACGTTGTCTCGGAAAACAGCTGAAACTGAAAGATATCTTCTTTTCCACCTTTTCACGACAAGACGACAAAAATCACGTGGAAAACAATCTCCTTAAATGTCTGGATTCACAAGAATGTAGGCACAACAAGAATACATTAACTATAAGAAACAACACCCAGAGCACACATACAGCCCGTGTAGGTAGCACGGTCGACTTACTGAATGTCTCAGTATGACAAGCCACTATCTGTTTTTACCACAATCTACACAATAGTATGTTGTTAACGGTAAACTGATTGCCTCAAGTCATCTGGAACACACACAGCACAACTCCGCAATGAATCCGAGTCAATGTTCTTTGGAACAAGCACAAGTCCTATTTTCTGTTACTTCTGCCTACTGTCTATATAACCGACATGCGTGGCTCTCCGGTATGAAATCCCATCTGTACCTAGTTGCCGGCGTCCCAAGCGCTAATTTGCCGGTGGGGGGCTGTGGAGTAGTGCTACGGGTCAGTGGGCTTTGTCCTTTGAACTCACTGTTTCAGGAACATAGTTAAAGTTACCGTCAAGCATTTACCATAACATGTTTCGATTGTAGTGAAGAGTAAATCCACTTCAAGGTCAATGATGATGATGATATGATGATGATGATGATGATGATGATGATGATGATCGACGTTAACGTCTAAACGCTGGATTCACGTACACGTGTTTGGGTATATTAAATTGATTGTGGGAGTCACATATGGTACACGGTTAAAACTTTACTGACATATCCAAAAAAGTCTTCATATACAAGTTAATGAAGCCAGCTGGTACTGCTGTTGATATATGGTTCAGTTACGTCAATATATCGTAGTTAATTAAGTAAAACACGTTAAAGTCACACAAAACGTATCGTTGGAGATCGTTTGGATTCATAACCAACAGAGCCAAAAAGTAAAGGTCCAATCCTCAAACGAATTCGATAGAACGCCAGATTGTTTAACACGATCAAAGAAGAGGTAAGCTCCAGTTAGTATATCAGTGAACAGAATCAGACCTTTGTCTTTAGCAGGACGAGGAAACTCCTTGAACTCCACAATGAAAGACGAGATGTTGTCAACAACACGTAACGGTTAAATGTATCCACATAGTTACTGATATGTATCGTGAAATACACACCGCTATCTATAACACAGATCTGTATGGCAGACAGCAATCTCGGTAGGCGAACATACGTGTAAGTACCTGCGTGAAATATCCCAGGTGTCGTTTTATGATCAGCGTTAGTAAACAACAGTTGCAATTATTCCAACGGACATAAACATGTATATGACTTAATATTGTTTACTTCCAACGTTTGAAAGGTTTACGTATCAGCGATCACATATAACTTCGCAGTAAAGGTTGTATTAGGAAGGTCCATAACGACACGTGACTGATCTGTGTCCCGCTGATTGAAATACACATCCCACGTCGCGTCTTGTTGTCACTCAGCTGATTAGCATGTAGAATGAGCCCAGTCATGTATGCACGTTATCTGGACTGGTTCAAGCACTCGTGTAACGTAATACCATACGCATGCGCGATGACACTCAAGGAGCAGATCAAGCATGAAGGAGAAGAACACAATAGCTTTGGGGAAAGACGTACATACGGCACAGTGCCAGCTTATGACTTGTTCACGATCTTCGAAATACAAAACTATTATTCAGAATTTGCTCAGTGTCGGGATATTCATTGACCCACTTAGAATACCATGTCCATATTACGTGACGAATATAGATCTCCCGTCAAGAGCTTGTTGATTCAAGTTTAATCTCGGACGCGCACAATGGCCATCTTACGAACGAGTTCACATCGTAAGAACAAAACAATGAAAGTTACAAATATTCTGTAAATGCAGTTAAAAAGGGTACCAACTTCTGATAGACAGCAATATACACGTCTATTTCAAATGACACGACTGTCATTCAAACTGGCGTGTGTATATCGAGTGATTTGTGCGATCAATGACAAAGGCAGAAAACATTAAAACGTGTACATACAAAAATTTCTAACCCAAGGATTAGAACTATAGTGTGCTTAGTTCTGAGGCAGTACGTGAATGACACGTGGGAAAGAAACACATGCATGCACAGCAGCTGATATTGCAAAGATTCCTGTCCACGTTCCTTTTCAGATCACATGGGTGACAACCCGGAAACTGCATACCTCGAAACACAGCAGCGAATCTAATCAACATCCCTTTTCAATTACAAATCGTTTCAGCCATTTCCTTCAGCCCTTTCACCACTCAACCTTGAAAGAAAGACCATCGATGAAATCACGATATGAAAACAAAACACACAGTTTTTGTTTCCCCAAACGCGACGCCAAGCACCAACAAACACGAAACAGTTTATCGAGAGCGTCTGTGCACATCTAACGGTGAACTCTGCTGGTATGCTACCTGCAATCAACACATCTACTTCCTCCCCAACAACAACATTCAAGATCATGTGTTTGACAACAACCATGGAATGTTGAAGGATACAGCAGCAGATCTTCTCAACATCAACAATACCCATTCATCATCTTTGTGTTTCCGTTACAAGCCAGGAACTGCATCCCCATGATGTGAATCTACTGCACTATTTTCCTGTCCCTGTGCAGAATGTTACGTTTGTTGTTTAAAGGCGCACTCAGCAATAGTTCTGCTATATGATGGCGTCTTTAAATGAGCAAGTCTGGACCAGACAATCCAGTGATTCACATCATGAGCATCGATCTACGCAGAATGTTAGGTTTGTTGTTTAACGCCGCACTCAGCAATATCTTTGCTATATGATGGCGGTCTGTAAATGAGCGAGTCTGGACCAGACAATCCAGTGATTGACATCATGAGCATCAATCTATTCACAATGTTATGCAAAACATCAACAACAACTCATTCCGTTATATCATATTTACTATGTTTCATACTCCCTAAAACATATTATTTTCCCTTCCTCTCAGCACTTTCTCTTATCCAAAATACCTAAATGAAGCATGCCTATATTTCAAACAGTTTCACGTTCTAAATCCCCGAAGTCTTTAGCGCCCCTTTTCCTTTCAAGTGGAGGCTATATTTCTACCAAAATTATACATTGTCAGAGACTAAACGTTATTCTATATCATATTGTACTGTGTCAAATACCCCAAGGATCTCAAAAATATATTTGAACCTTGGAGAAAAACGTTCTGCGAACACTTTAGCAAGCTTATATAAATGTCAACATACTTATACTCTTAGTCTCAAGATCCCTACTTAGGAGTCTCTTATTCATATATATCCTGAATTGAAGGGAGACTAATGCTGTTAGAATGACGTCATATTTTCATGAAGTATACGACCCGTGGATCGCCTCTGTGATGCTGTGGACACCATAGGAGGTCGGTGGGTCGACCTCTGGTCGCGTAATACCAAACGACGTTAAAAGATGGTACTTTTTATTACCCTGCCTGACGATCAACATCAAGGCCATAAAACACGAACTATTCAGCTCGAGTTTTGCGTGTCGAGGTAGAGTGTCCATGTCAAATGTATCAAAGTGCCCCAGCAGTAAAATCGGCGTTAGTCCGTACTTAAACAAACAGCCCCCACACACATGCATGCAGATCAGCTTGAAAGCCCAATAACGCTAAACACGACCATAAACCCGATTTATCCTCACCTCTACGACCGTCGAAATGTGTTCGACCTGGTAGTATTCACTTGCGCTCTTTGCAAGCTCGACATGCGTTGCCTGTACCCATGTCTCACAGTCCCTGTACAGCATTATGTTCCCTACTGCCCAGCCCTCCTTGCAATACTAAATCCATAAATGAAGCAAGTCTAGATTCCCATCTCTGAAATTCCCATCTCATTGGATCTCCTTTTCAGTATAAATGGGTTTATTCGTTACTATCAAAATTATATATACAGTGGGGCGGTGGGGTAGCCTAGTGGTTAAAGCGTTGGCTCGTCACGCCGAAAACCCGGGTTCGAATCCCCACATGGGTACAATGTGTGAAGCCCATTTCTGGTGTCCCCCGCCGTGATATTGCTGGAAAATTGCTAAAAGCGGCGTAAAACCAAACTCAGTCAGTCAGTCAGTATATATACAGTGGAAGCTCTCTAAACCGGCACTCGTCGGGACTGAAGAAACAATCCGGTTTAGACAGCGTGCCGGATTGTAGAGCTGACACAGTTACCTACGACTAGAACTGAATCAGTTTTGTCACTCTCATATACATTGCTGTATCACATGGTTCTCTCAGTTACTGCACACATTTACAATAA